CTCTCAGTCAGAATCGACTCGATGGCAGGGAGACTTTTGAAGTATCAGGGACATCTATGAAGAAACCAAAAGGTTATTGAAAAGGAAACAAATATATTTACATATGTACATGTCTGTATTTAGGACTCCATGTATGCCCTTTGCCTCCTACTCCTTTCCTTTATTTCCTTATGCATTCCTCCTGTTCCACTACCATGTTCAGCCTTCATTCTGGTTTCAGTAATTCCTCTGTTACATTGTCCTTGGTCACTCCCTACCAGTCCTCCCATCCTCTCCCTGCCACTGGTTTTGAACCACTCATTGTTCTCTTGTCCCTGGGTTGGCCAACACCTCCTCCCTTCCCCCACCAGCCACTCTCCCATGTCCCCCCCCACCATTGGTCCTGTGAGAGTGGTGATACCAGGAGGGAAGAGGGAAGGTGGGGTAGAAAGGGGGAACCGATTACAAGGATCTACATATAACCTCCTCCCTGGGGGATGGGCAACAGAAAAATGGGTGAAGGGAGACGCCGGGCAGTGTAAGATATGATAAAATAATAATTTATAAATTATCAAGGGTTCATGAGGGAGGGGAGAGTGGGGAGGGAGGGAGGGGGGGAATGAGGAGCTGATTCCAGGAGCCAAGCGGAAAGTGAGAGTTTTGAGAATGATGAGGGCAACGAATGTATAAGTGTGCTTTACACAACTGATGTATGTGTGGATTGTGATAAGAGTTGTATGAGCCCCAATAAAATGATTTTAAAAAAAGAAAGGACAAAAATGAATGTCAGAAGATTCACTAAAACTTGCTCTTGACTAGAATAGCTAACGTGAATGGAAGAAATGATGACGTGAAAACAAAATGGAACTGACAACTTCAAAGGACAGCTAGAGAAGACAAAGCAAGCTCTTATAAAGATGTGTGCAAAGATGTGGAGTTGAAAAGCCAAGAGGAAAGAGTAAGCTCAGCCTTTATTCCAGCATTTTCTTAAACAGAAAGAAATGAAAAATATCAAGACTTGAGTTGCAATATTGAAGAATTCTATGGGCCAAATACTAAACGGCATAAAAACATCAAGAAACTGTGGAAGGACTAAATTAATAGATCAAACAGAATTGATCCCTGTTCCACCATTACAAGAGGTAATGTATGATCAAGAGTCCATCGGTTTTTCATGGCTCTTGTTAATGAAAGTAGAAATCCGAGTATCACTGATATCATGAGTACAGGCTAAGGTGCCAGGAACTGACAGACTATTAATCGACATGGTCCATCACATTGATGCAATGCAGAAAACACTCATTCATTGGTGCTTACTGAGAAAATGTAAAGATAGCTACTGGCAAACACAGGAAGAGATTCTTAAAAAAATTTTTTTTTAATTAAAAGTTCATTTTACACTGCCTAGCGTCTCCCTTTACCCACTTATTAAATTATTAAGGGTTCATGAGGGAGGGGGAGATGGGGAGGGGAAAGGGAAAAAGGAAAATGAGGAGCTGATTCCAGGAACCCAAGCGGAAAGCGAATTTTGTGATAAGTGTGTGTGAGCTCTCATCTCTTATCTGTATCTGTGCACATGCTCTGATGTAGCCTGCAGTGAAATGCAGTACTGGGGTCATGAAAGTAGGTGGTGAGGAAGCCTTAAGGAACCAGAGGAGTATTGTGTGTTGGTGCTTTACTGTGCCCTGGTTGACAGGAAGAGATTCTTATTTGTGCCCAAACCTAACAAAAGGTGATCCAATTGAATGTGGATATTGTCAAACAATGTCACATGCAAGTAACATTTTGCTGAAGACACTAAAAATGATTGCAGCAATACATTGGCAGAGGACTGCCAGATATTCAAGTGGGATTATGAAGAGGACATAAACAAGGGATATCACATGGATTTATTGGCTATGCAAAGGCATTAGCGTGTGTGAATAACAAAGACATTAGAGTTTGTGAATAATAAAACTTATGGATAATATTACAATGAATGGGGATTCCAGAGCACTTAATTGTGCTCAGTGGAAGGTGTGCTGTGTTAGTCTGGGTTGACTAGAGAACCTAATCCAGAGGCACTCAAACATGTGTATAAAAAAGAGCTTTATACACAAGAGCAGTTGAATATTGAGAAAATATCCCAGCCCAGTCCAGATCAAGTCCATAAATCTGATATTAGCCCATATGTCTGACACCAATCTATAAAGTCCTCTTTAGACTCATGAAACACATGCAATGACACCAAATGCAGGAAGATCACAGGTCAGTGGGTGGAAGGTCTTGTGGATCCAGTGGTGGCGTAAGCATCTCAGTGCTGGCAGGGGTCTCCCTGTGGCTCCTCCAGCTCCAGAGCTCTAGCATCATCAATGTAGCTCCATCAGGCTCATCATCAGTAATGTCTTAAAGGGAGTGAGCCTGTGTCCTGACTCCAGGGAGCTATTTATCTCCTTAGTGCCCCCCAAATGAGGTCATCAAGCTGTGTCCTGATTGACAGGCTGACCTCCACCCCTTCACTCTTAACTCTCAAATTGACAACAGATTATATAACTACCACATGTACATAGACCAAAATTCAGTCATAAAAACAGAATAAGAAGATACTATGTTTATTAGGAAAGGTGTGCATAAAAGTTGTACCCCTTTACTATGCTTATTCAATCTACATGGGAAGTAGTCTGGGAAGTTAGATTGCTTGAAGTAGAATGTGGCATCAGGATTAGAGAAAGACTCATTGACAAACTATAATATGCAGACAGTGAAGATTTGAAGCCCTTACTGGTGAAAATCAGAGGCTAAAACTTTTGGTATGGATGATACCTCAACAAGAACCACCAAATCCTCACATTATACCAATAAGCAACCTCATGATAAAGGGGAAAAACTGAACTTATCTATGAAGTCATTTTGCTTTGACCCAATCAATGCCCACGGAAGCAGAAGTCAAGATATCAAGCAGCACATTGCACTGGATAAAACTGCAAAAGGAATCTTTAAATTATTAAAAAGCAAAGGCAGTACTTTGAAGACTAAGGTGTGCTTGACTCCAAGCCAATGCATATTTAATCATCCCCTACGCCTGCAATGAATAAGGAAGACTGAAGAAGAATTGGTGACTTTGAATTATGATAACATAAAATATCAACTATACTACAGGGACTGTCAGAAGAATGAACACGTCTGTCTTGGAAGAAGTACAGCTAGAATGCTTCTTAGAAGTAAGGACGGTAAGACTCAGTTCCACATAGTTGCTAGCAAGACCTCCATGCCTGGGGGAAGACAGCATGCTTAGTTAAGTGGAGGGTCCGTGAAGGAGAGTAAGACTCTCAACAAGGTTGGTTGGCACAATGGCTTCAACTGTGGGCTCAGGCACAGCAACATTTGTGAGTGTAGCATAGGAGCAGGCAGCGTTGTGTTCTGGTGCACAATGGGTGCCTAACCACCACAACCACAACAACAAATGATTCTTTGGGGCCCAAAGTATATCTGAAGCTAACATTTTCCTCTAAATTTGCTCTAGGCATTCATTTAATATAATTTTCAGATGCAGTCTAGATTGAGTCTCTGCTATACAATTTGCCATTATAGTCTGCTCTAGGACACAGTTGATACAAACAAACCTATGCAAGCATCATTAGATAATGAGTCATTTTGATAAAAATGCTTTCTATGAATAGATATAATGGAAGGCATAAGTATATATGCATTTCAGATACCATAGGTGGTCCTGATAAAATATTCTAAAAAAAATGAATGCATTTATAGGAGCAATGAATGCAAGCTATAAACAAAACACTCTGAGAATACCTTCAGAAAGAACAAACAGTTCGTGTCCCCAACCACCACTGAATCTCATTTTGTCTTAAAGAGCACATCTGGTTGAGAGTATGCTTTCTGTGAATTGCATTGCTTTATAATAGCCAGAAGATTATGCTGAACTCAGCTTCTAGCATTGAGCCTAGATATGTAATCCTTTCGCAGTGCAAATATACCTTCACTTACAACACTGAGAGTGTTTGGAAGGAGAGGGCATGGAATCAAGCAAAATACATGAAAATGAAATCAAGAAAAAAAGTGAGATGCATGCAGAACTTTCCCAAACAATCTGGAGCCTAAATAAAAAATTACGTGACACTATGTTTTCAATTGAATAGGAAGGAGAATTGCATAACACGTTCCAAATGACAAAAGTCCAGCCATTTTTGCACGCAAGGAAACCAGTGATCCTCTTTAGGTAGATATGTATTAGTGGACACAATGAAACTCAAATATGTGACCTTGGCTGGGGGTGAAATCTTTTAGCACCAGCTATTATCTTCATTGTTCATATAAATAAATATTTTTGAAGCACTGAGTGGCTTTTTACTTGTTACAGTTACTATGAACACACTTTGAAATATATTTTCTTACATCCTTCTCAGTTCTGTTATTTTGTCCTTCTATGTAATACAAATGATTTTCAATATGTCATACTTCTAAGGATAAGTTACTTTTAACAAGAATAGCTTTAACATTTTGGTTCTAATACAAGTCACTACTGGAAGAGATTTCATTTATTCTTATTCTCTTTTTATTTTCTGATTAGTCAGCCAGATTAATGTAAGAAGGACAACGTGGATGGATAGTGTTTTATATAATCTTGAATTACTCTTCGTGAATACATATCAATGTAAGGGGTGAGGCAGCATGTGAAAATGCACAAAACATTCTATTAAATAGTTAAAATGCAAGTAAATGATTAACTTTTGTGAGCTTACTGAGTTTCAACTAATTTCTTCATGAGGATATCATTTGAAATATATACATCAATTGAATTTATAGGATAAATCAATTATATTAAGTCTACATTCTCTCCCTCCCATGCCCATCAGTAACATTCTACTGTATCCCCTGTCAGAAATGCACTCTAGAGAAACTGATTCTGTTCTTCCCAGAAAAATTCATGCATAAAAATTATGGAAAAATTAATTTATGAGAAATGGCTTAAATCTAGAGCTCAAAATAGCTCATGTAAGTAGCATCAGAAAAGAACAGCTCACCCGCAAAAAGGAGTCAAGCGATCCATTCTCCATGTATTCCACCACGATCATCACTGGTCTGCCTGGAACGGAGCAAGAGACGCACAGACTTAGAGCAATGACAGACATGGCTGCAGCCATTAGAGATTTCCAGCTGTCAGCTAAATTATTTGTTGTTGTTTTTTATTAACAGTAACTTCATTTTCCAATCTGCCTCTATGAAACCACTTATACATAGGCATCTCTCCACTTCTTTATGGTGGTATTTCTCCGAGTTCATAAAAAGAACATGCATTACAATATGAATTACAAAGGAATTAAGTATTTATTTTTTCTTAAGTGCTGCGATCACTTATTTAGACATCCTCTTTTTCCTCTAGAATTTTCTTAGGAGAAAATCAGCAAGCTGATATTAGGGTTTACGCACTCCCTGTAGCTGCTTTGGCAATTCTGTTGCAAATTCTCCTACAGGGCTGTTGGACTTATGACTGAACTACATTTGACTGGGGATTTCTGTAATATTTATAAGGCAAATCAGAAATGAAAAATTTATAAATATCTTTAAGATATAATAAACCTTTTGTTATTGTCTCTTTTAAGGTGTTTTAAACTGAAAGCTTTCTACAGATTGATGAGTGCTACAAAGTTGGTGGGGATTGTAATCGTTCTTGATCATTTCCTTATTGGCCATATATAAGATCAACAGATCAATGATGGCAGCACATGAAAAATAAGTAACTCTGATTGTGTAGTCTAGTGCAGAAGCTAAAATCAGAAGCTGAAAATCTTTCATTTCTTTTTTTATTATATCTATTGCAATTGTTACAGTTTCCAATACACCACTATTAGGTAAGATATTTGACAGAAATAACTTTAAATTGTTTCAAAGAGAATACATTTGCTTTGCCCAATTGTCCAAGTTTAAAAGATTAGCTCATTTTAGATGAAGGAAAATGGTGTTTACCTGAAATATGAATGTAAGACACATTTACTTTTTTACCTGTATAGTACTTGCTTTTCATTGGTATTGTAAGCAATTCAATCTACAATATATACATTTTTTTTGCTCATGAACTTACTTCACTAATAATGAAAACATTAGATCTCATCTTGCAGTTTATGTCTCATTTATGAACTCAAAATCTTGTGAATTAAAAAGAGTTAGCATAACAAATTAGTTCAATGCTTGCAAAGGCTAGATTTTTAAGAAAGATGTACTAAAGGTAAATGTAGTAGTAAAGCTCCCAATTAATCATGCAGAGAATTAGATCCCAAAGAAGTTTTCCATTTGTGGTGGATATTAAGTTATATTCCGTAATGCCTCTCAAAGTCATTGATTTAATCCAAATATGAATCAAGAGTCTTATCAGAAAATATTGAGGTCAATGAACTGTCAGCACTGTAGTGAAGTGTTCTATAAAATCAATGTTTTAAAACTGAGTTTCTCATTAAATCTATATTTGGACATCCATGTCAGATAATTTCCAGGTACTCACACGAGACTGATTGCAAACACTTGGTTATGAAGGGCAGGGAAAAGAGAGGTCACTGATATAAAAGTTCAAAGACTATTATTAAGCTTAAATGATGGTGAGTTATAGATATTAAAGAAACAAAGTTGTGTTATTGCAATGGCTTTGACTTTTTCTCCCAGTGGTTTCATACCTTTCTGACCAATCTTCACCATTTCTGACAAAGGTTAAGATACATTTAAGATTTTCATTTGTTTTCTTACCATTTATCTCCTCCTTAACGTCACTTTTATTAGAATAAAAGTGTTAATTTTTAGTGAGTTCCTACTTCACTTGTATTGATTTTTTACATATTGTCATTGTCCCCATTACACAGCTAAGGGCATTGAGGGACATAGAGTAGAACTGCTAGTCAGAAGTCAAACAGCTACTAAGTGGCAGTGGTAGGCAATCTACAAACAACAACAACAACAAAACCCCCAAAGCAAAACTGACTGCCATCGAGCCAATGCGGACTCATAGAGACCACCCTGTGGATTTCTGAGACTTTTATAATTTTTTGCAGGTGGAAAGCCTAATATTTCTCCCACAGAGCTGATGTTGGTTTTGAACTACCGATTATGTGGATTACAGTCCATTGTATCATCAGGCCTCCCTAGGCAATCCACCTCAAGAGTCATAGCCTCTTAAAAATTTGCACTACAGGTGCCTCTTAGAGAAAATCTAAGTTTCATATTGTTAGGCAAGCCTCTCCAGTGACGGACCTTGTCTTTACTAGGTAGTCACCACTCCACTGGTTGACATCATTGCTTTTATTATTGCTCCTATTCCTTGAGCATCCCCTACAGTACATATGCCATTGTTGCATGCTCATCACATCAATAAAGTCTCCATTCGAATATATTATGCCTGGCTTGACAACAAAATGCCCTATATTCCCATAGATCCATTGTACCCCAATGAATAGTAATGAATTTTCAAGGTCATTCCCCCAAGAGCTGAGCATAGTAAGTCCTTCAAACCCCTCCTTTCCCTCTATTTGATTTCACAATGCCTAAGAATGAATCACTGGAGGATTTCATCATGATTGCAATCGGTATGAATGCAAAGTACTTTGAAACTAGAACTTCTATCTACAACTCCTTGGGAAATACTTTATTCAAGTTGGAAATTCATCAGTGTCAAGGTTCATTTTCTCATTAAGGAGTACACAGAAGCAAATGACGCCTCCCTTGGTTTCTTGTGAATTACAAGTTTCACACCTGAGCTCTTCATCTTTGTTGTTCTTTGTACAGAAGCACCAAACGAGAGCTGCTGCTATTGGAAGGAGGTATCGCTTTTTAAAGATACTGCCGGCATCTAACCTGTAATTTGTTTCCTAGTGGCTTTCAATAGAACACTTACCCGGTGAAGCTTACAAACAACTTTATAGTCCATGATTATATTTTATGAACAAATGGAGAAGTATGAGGAGAATGATGACAAATTAATTGCTATTTTAAAAGATGTAGTTATATATCAATAACACTTATTCATCTTCTTTTAATATTTAAAAATTTCATACTGAAAATTTTGCTAATATAAAATATATTTGACCATCATTCATCCTCCTTTGATTGCTCTTTACCAAAGATTCCAACTTAAAGCAACCCTGAGGGACAGAGTACAGTTGTCCCACAGAGTTTCCTGGTCTTTCTTCTGCGGGTCTCCCTCCTGAGGATGATGGGGTTGAGTTGCTGACCTTTGGGCATGTAACCAGTGCTCCAGCAGGGCTCCTTAATTCTCCTATGAAATTTCAAAATGCTTCAGCTAGCTACTCCAATTTCCTATGCTCACATTGATATTTGCATTGTCCTGAAGCTAGTGTTCAATCCCAGGATCCTTGAATGTTAGGCTAGTCTTCAAATCACCAGGTCTTTGTTACGAGTCTCATCAGTTTGAGTGTGGGAGATGCCAGAGTGTACTTCCAAAGTCACACAATGTAAGCTTCTCACAATTGCCTTCTTAAATGGCCCAGCTATGGTTATAGGTGTCTTAACTGTTTTGGAACAAAATATCCTCTAAGGAGCTAGTTACTTATATTCTTCTAGAAATAATAAATTTCATCATCTCATATCCTTATTTTCTGATGTATAGAAGAACAACTCTTTTCATTAATTGAGATTTTTGAGGACTACCAATGAAGGAATAATTCTGAAATCCTAGCTCCCCAATATTTATGGGGAATTTGATGCAGGTGGTCTGGAGAAATTACATGATCATAATTTTCTTGCCTTATTGTTGAATAAAGCAAAAGACAAATACTTTTTAAGCATGTTTGAAGAATCTTGGCAAAAACATTTCACCAGTGAAATTAAAAATTTTTCCCCTTCAGACTCAGAAAGATTTAAGAATGAAGAATATAGCATTTTAACATTTTCTTCAATGAGTTCACGTGAGATGTAATATTTTATATTGGCTTTCTAATAAAGAATGTGCAGTCAGTAATATACCAAATCCAAAAGCAAGTCAGGGGAACAACTAGGGTGTTGGAATCAGAAACAAGGAGGAGACAGGGATCCAAGGCAGGGGTGGGTGGAGGTGGGGTCGGAGCAACAGCAAACTAGCTAAGAGGAGGTACCAAGAGGCGGAAATAAAGGGGAAAGTGACAGTGGGGCAGGAGGAAGGTAAAAGGAAACAAAGGAAGGACCAAGGAAGCAAAGCAATGCCTAGAGGTATAAACTTAGTGGTGTACAATTGTAAATACATTAATCCACACAAACAGAGGGATTGGCCCATGTACATATATTTATATGGCAATACACTGAGGTAGGGGATGGATTTGGGGCCTCTGCTCATACCATTCCTCAACACAAGAACACTTTGTTCTACCCAATCGGCAGCCTGTGATGTTTACCCTCCCAACATAATCGCTGAAGACAAAATGGGTGCATAAGCAAATGTGGTGAAGAAACGGATGGTGCCCGCTATTAAAAGTCATAGCGTCTGGGGTCTTAAAGGCTTGAAGTTACACAAGCTTCCATTCAGCAGAGAATCAACAAGTTCACATGGAAGAAGCACACCGCCAGTGCGATCATGAGCAGTCATTAGAACTGGTAATAGGCATCAGCAGATCCACAACAAACAAAAACATATTGTTGAGAACGAGGGTTGCTGGAGCAGAGATCCAAAGCCCATTTGTAGACTGTGGAACAATCTCCCCACAGAGGGGCTACAGGGAAGGGATGAGTCACCAGGGTGCAGTAAAGCATCGAGGAAACACACTATATTCCTCTGGTTCCTTGAGGCTTCCTCACCCACCACTACCATGACCCCTTGAGGCTTCCTCACCCACCACGACCATGACCCCAGTGCTGTTTCCCAATTCAGACTAGACCGGAACATATGCATAAGTATAAAAAGGGATGGGAGCTCATGACACACAGAATCCAGTGATCAACACATAACCATACACCCCTCTACAGGGGGCAGAACAACAGAAAACATGAGGGAAGGGAGACAGCGGTCTGTGTGAGAGATGAAAATAATAACAGTGGTAAAAAAAGAAAATAATAACTGTGTACAATCTATTAGGGGGTTACGAGGATGGGGTGGAGGGGAGGGGAAAGAAG